AGGGGGGATGGTCACACTACAATCCCTTCTCCTCCATTCTCCTCTTGGGATCTTGGGCACGCACGCACACGCGCCCGGCGTGAGTTTTAAGCCACCGGGTCCAGGACGTGAACCGCGGTCGACTACGTGGGAGTCCAGTGACATAGCCATTACGCTAACTGCTGGTTCCCAGCCCCAATGCCTTTTTCAAGGTAAATTAGATATGAGTAAGAATGATATACTAATATCAGACTAGAATAGGTAGCAAATAACACACTTAGTTGACTTCACTGTCCCAATTAAATACAACAAAAGCAAAAGAAAATCTGATGTTTAGCAATAAAGTTCTCTTTTAATACACAAATTTCCATCTAAACTTAATTTTAACAGGTAAAATAAAATTTCCACATTTGAATATGCTATGCAAGCCACTTATAGTAATGTCTAACATTTTTCATAACATGTCAGGCACTATTCTAAGTGTTTTATATATTTTTTCCATTTTAGCCTCTGAACAAACCTATGAGAGGTAAAAATCATTGTCCCCATTTTATAGGTAGTAAAATTAAGGCACAGATTGCTTTACTATACTTGCACCAGGTCATACAGAAAATAATTCATAGATCTAAAATATTTACCAACTAATCTAGCTCCCCAATCATTATATTAAGCTGCCAGCAAGGCAATGTAATAAATGTGCTTTGCAAACGGTAAGATGTGGAAATGCGAAGTTCCACTAACTAAGCATAGAGGCTTTCTTGTCGGATCTAGTGATAAAGTCTCATACTAACTATGTAAACCTGAGTAAATCACTGAACCCTCTCTAAGCTTCAGTTTTCTGTTCTATAAAATTGGGATAATGAAGAAAGAGGTCTTACTTCACAGGGTTGTTGGCAGAACTAGGGTGATTATACATGTAAAGAGGAGAAGCTTGGCATACAAAATACTCCATAAATGTTCATTATTATTAATTATTACTAAGAATTCTCTTTATTTTCATAAACTCTCTTAGTATTGGTGGTACTTTCCAACATAAGTAAAACTCATCCATGTTAAAAGTTTATAAAGTTAAGACCCAAGCTTTGAAAGTGTAAGATACTACAATTCTGAGATAGAAAAAGCTAATTGCTGTAATACAATTATCATTTATTTAAAGTGCCTGGATATACATGAAAAAGCACTACAAACTGCACAAAATTATCAACGATCAGCCCCTAACGTCAGAAATACACAATCAGGGGACCAGCAGATGGTGTAATAGTTACATCACTGGACTCCCATGTAATTGACCATGGTTCGAGTCCTGGACCCCATGGCTTAAAACTCATGCTATGTGTGTGCGTGCCCAAGATCCCAAGAGGAGAATGGAGGAGAAGGGATTGCGGCATGTCTATCCCCCCTGGGGAGGGGAGTGTGATTTCTCACTTTGTTTCTCTGTCTCTGTCTCTCCAGTGATCACACATGTTCATAGCTAAAATTTCTCTCTTAAAAAAAAAAAAAGAAGAAACTCACAATCAAGCAAATTAATTCTAAGTGGAAACAAACAAAAACTGCTGGCTCTGGTCATCTTCCTAACCAGATGTACCTATGGTCTTTGTTAAGTTCCCCTCTGTCTGTGGTGACATAGTGGTGAAAATATGTAGAGGAATAAGCTTGAAAATAATAAACTTCTCAATCCCACAATGGATCAATAAAGATTGAGGAAGAAATGGGTTACGCTTTCCACACTCTTACCTCCCCCAAAAAATGTTTTAGCTGTCCTGGTACTAATGGTCACTATTAATTAACCAGAAGCAAAATAAGATCTAGACGCTCATAGGAAAAGGGTACAGACAAATTTTAAGAGGAATGAATCTGAAAGATTAGAAAAGTCAAAATAATTGTAGGTAAATTTAGGTGAAATACATTTAGGCATTCTATAATGTGCCCAATATCTTAGAAACTAAACTAACAGCTGTTCTAAGATGGCTGATCCTTATTTCTTTTCTACTTATAAATTTGCTATAGGGGCATTTGCTCCCTGGAGAGACAAGAGAGAAAGAGACAGAGAAAACATGAAAAAGCACTACCCTTGGGGCAACAGCCACACAACAATCCCTTCTCCTTCATCCATTCTCCTCTCAGGATTTTAGGCACACACGTACTTGTACCTGGCTCATTTTCTGAGCTGCAGGGTCTGGGACTCAAATTGCAAAGTCGGTCATGTAGAATCCCTCTGCCTTAACCACAATGCTACTGGCATACCCTCACTTCCTTTCAATCCTCCAGTTCCCTTTAGATCTTTAAGTCAAAAAAAAGGAGAAAGGATAGCACAGAGTATAAAAGGATTTCATCAAATAACACAGCCAGCATTATGCTGTGTTGTATATTAGAGCTTGGCTTCAAATTAATCATGAGCCACAACTAACTCATAATCATGATAGCCTAGAGATTCCACTAGATAACTAATTTCTACAAACACTAAACTAAGGGTCTAGAATACTTTCATGGCTCACTGTGGGAAATATGGGAACCTAATTTCTAAAATTTTTGATAGATTTCTATCTCCTTTTGAGTGGTCACACTATTTTGAGAGGTCTTTGCCACTTCACAACAGGGAAAGATATCCACTTGTGTCTAATTCCCTATGTATTTGCCATAACACTTACAAGGAAACTCCTCTTCTATTACATAGCCTCAAGCCATAGCAAAGCCACAAAACTCTGTTAGTACATTCATAAGTGCAAACTGAGCAGAAGAGCCTACTGACCATAAAGAAATATAACAATGCATTTTATTTTAAAAAATGTTAAGGTACTTCTCAACAATAAAAGCATTATGTGTCAACTAAAAAAAAAACAGCTCGTGTATAAAAAATCAATATAAAAAATTAAGTATGGGTAACTCATACATTCTTTAAAGCTTTTCTTCTTAAAGTAAGGAGTAATTGGGGAGAAAAGAAGAGATATGAACCTGACAAACAGCTGCTGTATATTCAAGATATGTATGCATGTTTTAATGAACACCTGCCCAAAGTCAGTCAAGCCTTATCCAGCTGTCACATGGCACTATCCAAATGTACAAAAGGGGACATGCAAGCTACACCTTTTATTGTTTTCCACCTATATGACACTTAGGAATGGAAGGTATCTTTAGGAAGAAAAATATGTTTAATTATATGGAAAAATTCTTGATTGATCAAATAGCAGCAAAGCTGAATATAATCTAAAGCCAGAGCTAGACCCTAATATCAAATAAGCAGTTTCTGTTGGCTCTTTATCTGCTTAAAAACTCTTCTCTACAACAAAGAATCAATAAATACTTGTTTATATAGATTATATGCAGAAACGTTTCTGGCACAAATTCCGTAGATCTCTTTTCAAGCCTCAAGCCTGAACCTCTGAAATGACATAACTGAAGAGTCAAAACCAAAAAGGATGAACACCAGAAAGGAACAGGAAGAACAAATGCCTTCTAATCACTTCAACTTGTTTGTTTTACCTTTCTAAACTGGTCCCAGTTTAGCCTCTAGCTTTTATGTCTGCCATGATCCATTAATTCAGCTATTATGATAAAATATTCCCAATCTCTCTAGGCCCTTCTAATTTAGGCAAGTACTGACACAAAGCTATTTTTTCTGCATGACCCAGTTGAAATCTTTCAGTCCCTGGAACCTACATTTCCTTCTTCTAAATTCCTCTTCTGTGGCCCTAGAACTACTTCGAAGGAAACATACCGTAAATGCCCCTGTGGAAACAGGTGGCCAGAATAAGGGAATTCCAGCAACTGGGTTGCCCTCCAACATAAGGCTATTTTTCTTTCTTCTCTACAGTATTTAACAAGTAAAGCAGAGAGGAAAAGACAGACATACAGATGAGAGGATGTAGCAAGGAGCCACCAAAGCATTTTAGAATCCTTCCATCTTTTCACCGATTATAATTAAGTCTGAAAACATTCTGGAATATGTCTTGTGTGTAGGAATGCATAAATGATAACACCTTGCAAAAGTCAAACACACAGGTTTAATAATGTGAAACTAATGAAGATCGTTTGTAAGTGATATACCACCTACACATTTAGTTCCCTAAATATATTATTAGTCATTAAAGTCAGACCTATAAGTACAAATTTTCCATATGTGGAAAAGTAAATCTGTTTTTAAATTAAAGAGAAATTATTACTCTATTCTTAAAAATAAAACTATCAGAATATAATTCAAGTGTAGCTGCTCATAGTCACTAAATAAGTTTAAGTTTGATAATAAAAACATTTTAAGTTTCAACCAATGCACCTTTGGTGAAGCACATTTAGCTGAAATAACTTTGAGTCTGGTTTATTTCCATCACATATAGTACATTTTTCCAACAAGCGCATGTACATTCAATATAGAACATTTCCAGCAATAGTTACAGTCTTTCTAGTTTCCTTTCACAGTATATTTTAGTGCAAAGCACTGGGAAGGGTAAATGTTTTTCTAGCTATAGAAGCATTTTATTGTAACCTCATGGAGTTCCAACATTTTAAAATTTTATACAAGATGTATTATAGATGGACAGGGTCCCTCCTAAGTACAGGTGTGAACCTATATAAAAACATGGTATATTTTCTGCTGTACCTTTTAAAATTATAATTTGACACAAATTTACTAAAAAATAAAATACTCCCTAAAAAGTACAAAATATTGATACACAAAAATCTGCCCCAAATTTCATAAAGATAGCTGTATTTGTTTTTCCTAAAATCTTGATTATAAAAATGGATGAAAATTCATTATTTTCTAAATTTTACAGTAGGAGTCAAATTTTATCTAAAGTGGTCATTTAAGATTTTTCTTAGGAGGAAAAAAAATTAGGGTTTATACCTCTATCTTCCTTTTTTAGCAATACTTAAAGAAAAAAACTAGTATCATAAGAAGTGGTTGTGCATGGATTGTCTGTATCCATAAAATATCAGTAAGCTATTTACTACCTTCATATTAACATTAGTATAATTGTGGTCTTCTTAAAAAAGATAAAAACTGAAAAATAAGGTTGCATGTATCATTAAAGTGCTTTGTATAAAATTTAAAGAAAAATAGGGGAATGTTTAATTTTCATAAAAACTTTAGATGTTTACAAATTAAAAATGTAATGATCCATGCATGAAAATGGACTGGAACTTTCCTGTACTCTATACTTTAGAATGGAACTTTCAAACACTTAAGTGCTGAAGAACAACTTAGAAATGGATGTAAAAATAATTACAAATATTTAGTAGGCTAAATATTTATAATGCATTGATACTAATCTGCCTTTTGTTCCTAACATATACTCACTAAAAAAAAATCATATATATCTGTACAATCCAGAAGAAACTTTTGCCAAGTGAAACAAAACTACAGTAACTAAGATATAAAGTCTTTCAATTAAAAATTGGTATTTTTTTCAGGTTGCTGATCACTTTAATCAACAAATTATTTGAAAAACAAAATTTGCAACATTTGTATAGAAACTGTAGACCAAATGTACAAGGTCAAAGGTGGTTAGCTGATGGGCTGTGATGACGATACATAATGTCACAGCTACTTGAAAGTGCTGGAATAGGCAGTGCCTTAGAAACAAGTGGTTAGATGGTTATTATTTTAGTCAGAAAACAGCAGTTACAGTTGAATATTTATGAAAATGTTTTTTCTTTTTTTTCCTCATAGTACCATTTGAAGACGTTTAGTGGTTCTAACACCAATATAAGTCTTTCCACAAAAATGAACTCCAAACCTTTTCGTACATCACTTGAAGTTATCTGAGGAGAAATGGGAATAAATGAATACTTTGAGTTTACCAACAAAACCTTGTTTTAAAAATTATACAATAGTAAATGACTTCTAAAGGATGGTTTCATCTCAAGCTTTCCACACAAATAAAAAAATGTGTGATAATCAAACCACAACATTTAGCCTACTCAGCACTCAAACTAAATATTTTGCTTAAGAACCTGAATCCAAAAGTAACTTAATCTTAATACAGGGGACACAGGTATTGATGGTAAATTTTAAAAATATATAGAGACTTGCAAAAACAAATATGAGAAGTCTATCCCTTATTTTATATTCCAAAACTTTCTTTTAAAAAAGTATTTTTCTTTTATCCAAATAGAAAATTTACTTTTCTGCAAAGCACAACCACAAAAAGAAAAAAGAGAGAGAAAAATCCTTACTTAATAGCATTAACTATGTTGAAATGATCACCAAAAAGTTTATTAAACAGAAAGAAAAATAAGAGTGTCTGGGACCTAAATAAACATTTTTTCCATAGGTCAAAACTAATAATCAGTATCTAAAACACACTCCCAAGGAGAAGGAAAAAAAATCCAAACTTTTGTTTACCAACTTTCTCCCTTTGCCTGGAAGCACTATGTCAAAAGTCAATAATAAATGCTATTCATTCTAAATTCGATTTGGGAATTATTTTTTCTGAGTGCAGCACTTTATTTAGCCATCACAGATTAATTTTTACAGTGATTACAGTGCCTCAAAAGATTTTTTCCTATAATTAGTGCCTTCAAAAATTCATTCTAATATAATTTTCCTACAATGCATTAGTAGACTAAGTCACTTAATCGAATTAAAACTGTGCAAAGTTAGTTAACAGAAGACTTCTATTGTAAACATAAGCCAATATAAATGTATATATTTTACATTAAAAGGAAAGCACTGACCCTGTGCCATCTACCTGTAACTACATTGCATTGTCCTGTGGAATATAAATTCTGAAGTTAGATTTTGTTCCCAAGCCACCGGAATAAAGGTCACTGAAGAGGTAATTGCAATATGCACATTACTCTTGCAGTTCCCACTGCCATAAGATATATGAAAGCAAATGTGTTAAAATGGAACCAGCTATAAATTATGGTCAAATGATTTTTTTTTTTTTTTTTTTTTTTTTCGATGGGGAGAAAAAAGCAAAACTCTGTAACTGTTCCTCACCAGACAAGAGCCTTAGATCTTGTACTTCGGCCTTTGGTTTTGTTTCCTTCAGGTGAATTGGAAGCATTTGCCTTATGAGTTTTCTTATGATGTTCAAGATAAGTCTTTTTGGCAAATGCCTTTCCACATTTATTGCATCTGTGGAGGGAAAAGTTTTTTGTGACTTTTACTTCAATACCGACGTCAGTTACTTCATACTTTTTACTAGGAGAGTTAGAAGTGCCATCATGTTTTGAATCATTATGTTTTGCTTCATCCCTTGAAGGGCCTCTTTTTGCCACTTTATTTAGAACAAAATCAATGGGCTTTTTTATAGCTCTGATCTCTAAACTGGCTGTAATTTTCCCAAGATAGCGAGATGACTTTTTATGAACCACAGTTATGTGTCGTATCACATCACGTTTCCGACGAGTTTCATAAGTGCAAAGAGGACACTTGTAGAATTTAACATAAATGTTATTTCCATCTGTGTGCAACTCAATGATGATTTTTTTTTTTTTTTTTTTTTAGTTCGATGGGGAGAAAAAAGCAAAACTCTGTAACTGTTCCTCACCAGACAAGAGCCTTAGATCTTGTACTTCGGCCTTTGGTTTTGTTTCCTTCAGGTGAATTGGAAGCATTTGCCTTATGAGTTTTCTTATGATGTTCAAGATAAGTCTTTTTGGCAAATGCCTTTCCACATTTATTGCATCTGTGGAGGGAAAAGTTTTTTGTGACTTTTACTTCAATACCGACGTCAGTTACTTCATACTTTTTACTAGGAGAGTTAGAAGTGCCATCATGTTTTGAATCATTATGTTTTGCTTCATCCCTTGAAGGGCCTCTTTTTGCCACTTTATTTAGAACAAAATCAATGGGCTTTTTTATAGCTCTGATCTCTAAACTGGCTGTAATTTTCCCAAGATAGCGAGATGACTTTTTATGAACCACAGTTATGTGTCGTATCACATCACGTTTCCGACGAGTTTCATAAGTGCAAAGAGGACACTTGTAGAATTTAACATAAATGTTATTTCCATCTGTGTGCAACTCAATGTGTTTAGTCAAGTTCTGTTTGGAAGTAAACTGACGTTTACAAAGTTTACAGTAAAGTTGCTTAAAGTCAAAGCCAGCTGAAAGTTTGGGTTTCCTAGTTTTTTGCTGGCCACCTGCAGCCAATGGACTAGTTGATTTAGGGCTTTCAGAGTCTTGTTTAACTTTATTTTTCTGTGCTGCCGGTGTGTTCTTTTTTTCATTTGAATGATTTGTTCCCTTTAATTCATTCTGTGGAGAATGGGTAATGGAAGGGGGTGAAGATTCTACAGAATCTGCTGGTTCAACTTTAACTTTTATTTCTGAACTGTTGGCAGTATTATTAGGGCCTTTCTCTCTTTTAGAGTTTGTTCCAGAAAGAGTTATCTTGTGGACAATTTGCATATGTCTTTTAAGCATTATTTGTGAACTATATTTCCTCTTGCAAAGGAGGCATTTGCATGCAGTTAAATTGTATTCAGCCTTTGAAGACGACTTTTGTTTTCGAGTCTTAAAAGATTTTTTAGGAGGAACAGAATCCAGGAACAAAGGTTGCCCAGGCTTTGTTGCTATATCAGGAGTAATTGAATCCCTCCTTAGTCCTCTATGAACTTCATCAAAATGCCTCCTTACATTTGCTTTTGTAGCAAATGATTTACAACATACTGGACAACTCCTACTTAGTGGAACTAGAACATTCTTACTGCGTCCTTTAGAGGACTGGTTTGGATTCTTTCGTGTTTCAATGTACTTTTTTAGTTCTTCCATCTTTTTCTTGTGTACTTTTCGAATGTGACGACGAACACCTCGTCTAGAATTGAATTCTTTTCTGCAAAGACAACATATTAACTGGTGACCAAAATCAGAGTTGTCAGATGTTTCCAAGTCTGCTTGTGATTCCTGAGGTTGTTCATCAGATGTAGGAGCAACTTCATCTGCAACAATCTCAACAGGAGGGGGCTCTATAGTTTCCACTTCTGTATCTGTAACTGGTACAGTTTTAGTCTGTTCAGTGCTAGTTTCCTGTATTTGAACTTCAGATTGTTCAGGAGTACTGCTTGACTCTGTAACTTCAGTAGGATTATCAGTCCTTGAAATATACTGAAACACTGCATTTTGATTAGTTTCTATGGGTTCTAGCTTAATAATATATTCTCGCTTGTCCACACTTGGATATATGGCTTCTAGGAGATCATTTATGGCTTGGCTTTGTTTATCATTCACATCAGGAAGGTCTGTTAAAAAAAAAAAAATGTTAGCATTTTAACCTGAAATAATTAGCCTGCTAACCCTAAAATTTTTAAACATACTATAAATCTTTGCCTTAAAATGTATTATTACTGGTTGGAACCAGCAGTTAGCGTAATGGCTATGTCGCTGGACTCCCACATAGTTGACCACGGTTCGAGTTCCAGACCCAGCGGCTTAAACTCACGCCAGGCGCGTGTAAATGCATGCCCAAGATCCCAAGAGGAAAATGGAGGAGAAGGGATTGTGGCGTGACCATTCCCCCGTGGGGGGTGATTTCTCACTTTCTGTCTCTCTGTCTCTCCCTGTCTGTCTAGAGAGCGCACGTCCCATAAAGCAGAAACCTCTCCAAAAAAAAGTATTACTGGTTTATATTTATCTTTATAAGAAGAGTTATCTACTTTTTAGTATTTAATGAAGGTTAAAAATTAGCATTAGTTAAACTAAAATTTGCTTTAAATTTTGATCACAGAACACAAATATGAAGGAGGTACAATCTGAAGAGCTACTTCTGCTTTTAAATACTCTTAATAAAATATATATGCACGCAGGTGCCTTAAACCAAAAAAAATCATATTTTTAGTAAGTTTTAGAATAATAAATGACTCATAGTTCACATAACCCAGAATGGATAAAATATCATGAAAAGTATCAGTATATAAATGGAAATGATTTTTTAAAATAAAACATAACAACATTCATATCAACTTAATTCACAATAAACATAGTCTAACTATATGGGAATATTTAAACATCTTATGGAAATGGAAAAGAAAAATGTGTAAGACTATATAAATATAAATGGCAAAAAGTATAAGAAGTATTTGCTAGATTCAGTCTTATAATAATCATGACACTGTTTAATCTGAGGTATGTTCTGAGATATATGCATCATTAGTAGGATATTTCATCTTATAAACATTATAGAATAAACTCATACAAACCTAGATGATATAGCCTATACACCTAGCCTATATAATCCTGAGACCATGGTCATATACATGGTCTTTGGTTGACTGACTATGAAGTGTGTAACTTATACATGTCCTCTCAACATGACACAATTTTATTATTAGAGCATCAGGAAAGTAATGGCATATTTTTCTATGCAAAAATGCATCATGACTTTCCCAACAAACCAATAAAATGAATAATTGAAAGTGTAGATTTGGGACCTGCAGATGACATCATTGGTTACGTCGCTGGACTTCCAGTGACTGCGATTCAAGTCCCAGACGCAGGGATTTAAAACTCACGCTGGACGCATGTGCATGTGTGCCCAAGTTCCCAAAAGGAGAATGGGATAAGGGAGAAAGGATTGTAGCGTGGCCATTCTCACTTATGATTTCTTACTTTCTATCTCTCTGTCTCTCCCTGTCTCTCCAGCACGCACATGCACTCTATGGCAAGAATCTCTCTCAAAAAAAAGTATAGACTGAGACCAGCAGTTAGCATAATGGCTATGTCGCTGGACTCCCATGTAGTGAACCACGGTTCGAGTCCCAGACCAGGTGGCTTAAACTCACTCCAGTCACATGTGCGTGTGTGCCCAAGATCCAGGAAGGAGAACGGAGGAGAAGGGATTGCGGCATGGCCATCCCCCCTGGGGGGTGATTTCTGGCTCTCTGTCTCTCTCTTTTCAGTGAGCACTCATGCCCTATAGCAAAAACCTCTCAAAAAAAAAAAAAGTATAGATTTACTCCAAAAAGATAGTTTTACTTATTTATATAACATAACTCTAGAATCTAGTTATAAATATAGCATAAAACCTGATATTTAGAAATCAATAATTTACACAGATATTCTAGTCTACTCATCTTTCTTTTAAAATAAAGTCATAAAAGCAGTTCTAGAATGATGTCAAAAGGAGTGAATAAAATCTAGCCAATCCATTGATTTATTTCACTCTATAACTCTACAATTGAAAAAATAACTACCAAAAACTTAATTTTCTAATAGCATTTTAATTAAAAAATTAGATTTGAAACTAATCTCTATAAACTGCCTTTTAGTTTATATCCCCATGACAAAAAAATATATATACTAAGATCAAACAGAAAGAAAAGTTTCCAGAAATAAATACGAAATTTTTGTTCCATCTATGCCCTATAATATATTCTAAGTCAGCTTTATGGTAATTAAAGCAATACTTTGATATTTGGAGTTTGCATTCCATCCCCATCCCAAAAAGGTTAAATTAAAAATGCACAAAATCCATAATACTCAATTTTTTAAGTCTCCCAAGAGTTAAATCCCTTAATAAGAAATAACAAAATAACCTATTATCAAAACATTTTCAAGAATTACAGTATTTCTTTAAAGCAAGAAAATAACAACATTATTTCACTGCTAAAATACACTAATTCAAGGAATATCTGGTTTCACAGACTTTATTGGTCTGCCTTTATCATATAAAGCTATAATATTTCAGCTCTCAAATTAGTGACACAATCGAATTTCTGTTAAAATAACCATCTACATAAATTTCACTAAGAATAAAACTTATTTTTAAATCAAGATGCTAGAAAAACAGATTGTTTTAATACTCTCCAATATTTCCAAGAAATCAACTAATTTGCTGAGTTTTTACTCTATTTCTAATCTAATTTACCAAGGAGAACCTAAGTAAGTGATCAATCATATCTGGTAATAAGTTGTTAAAGAAATAAAATGGAAAAATACCAAAAAATGGCTCCCTTCAAGATAGCCATTTTTAACATACAAATATTTTAACTTACAAATATCCTGAATATAAACTATATGACCCATATAAACATTGATAAACAATATCTAATATTTTAAATATAAATATACTCAAACTATAAATATACTAAAAATAACCTTGTATATGATATCTTTAAGAAGCTCCAAGTGGAAAAAAGCATTGATATAAAAGTGCGTATCTAGGAAACTGAATATAAGTATTTAATCTATTCTCCCTCATTAAATTTTCTATAACTGAATATCAATACCACTTTAATATAAATGTTCGACTGTAATATTTATTCCTCAACTGTAAAATACATAGCTAAATATATGAATAAAACTTACTGTCATCCATCTGTAGACTCGGTGGGCAGTAGAATTTTTTATGGGTTATTAAATTTGGTAATCCTCTGAAGAGACTGCGACATAATTTACATTCAAAAATAGTGTCCACATCTTTTAATAAAATGTGTTTAAGTTGCCTAGTTCCTAAAGGAAAAAAGAAGTGAAAATTGAATACAAAAGGTATCGTTAACAAGAACTTTTAAACTGAGCAACCACTGTTAACAATCCAAAAATGCAGTTACTTTTTGAAACAGAATACATGTCTTGCCAGTTTCTACAGTATATTTAAAACTAAGTTCTAAGCAAATTCCTACAATCATTTGAAAATCAGGACAGCTAAAATTGATGCCCTTTACGTACTTCAACACCCAATCAATTCCTGAGATATCCGAAGGCAATGGTTTGGAAATCTAGTTGATCATTACAATGAGCTGGGAATAAAGATGCTCATAACCTTCCCCTAAAGATTCTAATTCAAAAAATCTGGAGTGGGGGAACCAGCAGTTAGCGTAATGGCTATGTCGCTGGACTCCCACGTAGTCGACCGCGGTTCGCGTCCCAGACCCGGTGGCTTAAAACACGCTGGGTGCGTGTGCGTGCGTGCCCAAGATCCAGAGAGGAGAATGGAGGAGAGGGGATTGCGGCCTGACCATCCCCCCTGGGGGGTGATTTCTCGCTTTCTGTCTCTATGTCTCTCTCTGTCTGTCTGGAGAGCGCACGCGCCCTATAGTGAAAACCTCTCAAAAAAAAAAAAAAAATCTGGAGTGGGACAGAAAAAAAGTAAATAGTCCCCATCCCTTCCTGCCAAACTTTTTGGCTAGTTCTTCAAAGTCGTGATTGCAGTAGGAGGTCCAACAAGGCGTTTTTCAATGCATTTTCCCAATTCCTTAAAGGAAAAACTGTATCACTGGATTCTCTGTGATTTTCTTTTAAAATTCAGCTCGAGTAACTTCAGGTTCTAGGCCAACATGGGATTATAGCTATTTATTGTGATAAAGAATCTTTGTCCATACTGAGGGATAATTGTGAATTTTGCTTAGGCCTCTTGATGGCACTATAAAATTATTTCAAAGCCCTCAAAATGCTTATCCAATTGTAATTAAGTATTGTTATAAGTACTAATTAGATATCTATCTTCTCCTCTACATTATAAATTCCAAAACAGCCAAAACCAAGCCTATCTTACAACTACTACGTGATCAGCTCTAGTAACTCATGTTGTTTGTTGAAGAAATGCTACTAACCAAGGGATACAAACATTATGTTGGAAGAGAAAACACAAATGGCAATGAGTATTTGATCTTTAATATGAAAATACCAATCAGAAATAAAGCATAAATGGAAAATTTTGGGTCTCTACCTCCTACAGGTAAGTTGACAAAATTAATCTGTAGTGTTTTACTAATTAGTGTGCCTTTAGTTTCCTCAATTAAAAGAATGATAATATTGGGTCGTCGGAAAAGTCATGATGCATTTTTGCACAGAAAAAAATACATCATGACTTTTCTGATGACCCTAAAGTATTGACTTAAAGGGAAAAAAACGTGTCCGGAAAAAAGACCCTAAGACTATATAGGTGCAAAGTGTTCTGTTAAATCAACAAGTAGTTGGCTTTCTATTAAGTTTTGGAACTACTAAAGATTACACATTATTTTAGTATAATTAATATATAACAGAGTCTATAAAAATATGTTTCAATCTTTTGCAATTCATTTACATTTAATTTTTAGTCTATTTTATCATTTTGAAGAAAGTCAATTCTCAAAATTTTACTATGAAAAGTTCTGATTACCAGATTATCATAACTTTAAAAGTATTTTGAGATTACAAATCCTTTTTCTAGTTGTGTGCTGTTAAAGAACTTTATAATCTTCACACTTCAGCTCATCCATTTTGTTAAAAAGAAACTGAGCAAACATATCTTAAAGAATTATGAAAGAAAATATTAATCTAAATCCCAAGAAAATTATATACTTAAATAAAATTATATAATTATATTTCTACTGGAACTAATATATATAATGAAGTAATTTCTATCATTTCACAAACCCAAACCTATGTTTATTCCTCTAGACCCAATACCTTAAAATCAGAAAACTTTTTTTAAGACAGTTTTTTGGGACCTGCAGTTGGCATAATGGCTATGTCACTGGACTCCCATGTAGTTGACAGTAGTTCAAGTCCCGGACCTGGTGACTTAAACTCACACCAGGCGCATGTTCGTGCGTGCCCAAGATCCAGAGAAGAGAATGGAGGAGAAGGGATTGCAGCGTGGCCATCCCTCCCGGGGATGGGGTGGGGTGATTTTTCGCTTTCTATCTCTCTGTCTCTGTCTTTCTGGTGAGCACACATGCCCTATAGCAAAAACCTCTCCAAAAAAAAAAAGGTTTTTTTTTTTGTTTGGTGTTTTGCTGCTGTTGTTTTTGCTATAGGGTACGTGCACTTGCCAGAGAGACAGAGACAGAAAATGAGAAATCACCTCCCTGAGGGGGACTGCCACTCTGCAACCCCTTCTCCTCCATTCTCCTCTCAGGATTTTGGGCACGCATGCACACATGTCTGGCATAAGTTTTAAGCCACCAAGTCCAGGACTCGAACCATGGTCAACTACATGAGAGGCCAGCGACATAACCATTACACCATTTGCTAGTCCCCAGAAAACATATGTTAAAAGATACAGAGAACAGCCTGAGTATTATTCTTTACATGGATATAAATTCATATATATCAACATACACACACGGTATATAGATGGGACTATATATAAATATAGGAATATGTATACATACATACATATATATAGGAATACATATATAGAGAATATATATATATATATGGATATATATATATGTGTGTTGTGTGTGTGTGTGTGTATATACATATATATATAGAGAGAGAGAGAGAGAGGAATATATAGAGATACACACACACACACACTCACACACACATTTCTCTAGCCCATTTCACATTATGAAATAGCTTGGCAATAGACTACTAATACATTAAGTTCACAGTTAACCTCATAAGTGACTTATATACTGTGAGAGGAAGCTGAGGATAAAAGTGCTTTGGATAAGCCTCTCAATTGATCTACACATAGTTCTCTGAAAATGTAGCTGAGTACAGCACTGGAGGGAGGAAAACTGAAAATTTTTGTATACTTTCATTCCAAATTAAAAGGCCTTGGCTCAACCACAGTGGTGTAGGCAGGGTACCACTACACAATGCTGGAGTCACATAGGAGGCCTGGGTTCAAGTCCTGAGTCTACCTAAATATGCCAGGTATATGTGCATGTGCCTATGATCCTGGCAGATTGGGAGGCTGGTAGGAGACTCTGTCTAGGGTGCACACACATACCTCTCTCTCGAGAAATAAATTTTAAAATAAAAGATCTACTACATCCATACTCCAGATCCTTAACAGCAAATACATTGTATATACTGATGAAAATATTATATATATGAATTTTTTTCAAAAAATGTAAAACCAATTTTACATTAGGTTGAACGGCAGTCATTTTATATAATAAGACATATTTTTTAATTTTTTATGATTTCTTATTTATATATATTCAATCATTGTACATCTCTAGATATACAATATGGTTTTCAAAGTATGCATGCGATTCATGGCTGTCAAATCAAGGATATTACCATATACATAATTTTCAATAGAGAACTTTACATTCTTGTGTATAACATGAAAATATTAATTATAACTAATTATACTAAACAAAGACAAACTTCCATTTCCTTTCCTTAATATACTGGCATTTTGGTCAACAACTATTTTAATTTGTGGCAGTAATGCTTTTAAATGGTATACTGCTTGCCTACATACAAGCATTAGCCTTTTTTAGAATGACCACTTAACCACAATATCATCCTGACATTACAAACAAATGTATGTTCCTTGTCAAAGCTCCTGAAGGAAACTTCTAATTATCCTGTAATGCAAGTACTCAAAGATTAAGAAATTTAAAAAACTAAGGAAATTGAAATTGTTATCTTAACACTACCAAAAAAAGTTTTGTTATGTTTTAAATAACAGGATTAATTATGGAACACTGCCACATAACATGATAAATTTATATGTATAACAAAATTATTTTATAACAATATCTACTTGATCTTTAAATTTAATCTAATAAGAATTTATTGAGCACCTATTAAATATCAGGCACAATGTTACTCTCTGGAAACCTGAAAATGAAGGAATGGTCTATGCCCTTGAGAAATTCACAGACTAATATCAAATGGCTGCCTCCAAGGAATAAAGCCTCAGACAACATGCCATGAAGATGCATGTAACAACAAACCAAATTTACATTTTTCTTATTTATCCCTGAAATGTCTAGTCCCATTTTTAATTTCTTATGATTTTATGTAACAACCAGTATAAGAAATCCTTCACAGACTATGGCACTATCCTATCTACTTCAGATTAATCACTACCTCTATGCTGAACTTTTGCCTACAGTCAGGATTAATGTATTACCATAAGACACAACTTAAATTAACTCTGTGTGTGTGTGTGTGTGTGTGTGTGTGTGTGTGTGTGTTTTAGTTTTCAATACAGATATATATATATATATATAGTATAATGTATATAAGTCAATTAAAGTTGTTTTAAGCAAGGGGAAAATAAACCTTGAAGAAGTTAAGGGATCAAATCTAAATTTTGAAAAAACAACAGTAAATATCACCCAAACTAATTCTCATTTTTTCACTACTACACTATAAAAGTTACAATTTATTCCTCCCTAAGAATCAGGGAACCAGCAGTTAGCGTAATGGCTATGTCGCTGGACTCCAACATAGTCGACCGCGGTTCGCGTCCCGGACCCGGTGGCTTAAAACTCACACCGGGCGCGTGTGCATGCGTGCCCAAGATCCCGAGAGGAGAATGGAGGAGAGGGGATTGCAGTGTGACCATCCCCCCGGGGGGTGATTTCTCGCTTTCTGTCTCTATGTCTCTCTCTGTCTGTCTGGTGCGCGCACGCACCCTATAGCGAAAATCTCTCCAAAAAAAAGAATCATAAAAAGATGGGCGCTCCTTATACACAGTAGTCTGGCATGTTCTACATATAGAATCTATTTTTCTACAATATTATATATTTCAAGAATTTAAAAATAAAATGTCAACTTTATATTAAAGACCAGTTTTGACTACTAGATTATTCTTCTATTTTCACCCTATTTTTCTGTTTCTAACCTTAAGGCATTTCACAGCTCCTCTGTAACAGACAACTAAGAGACTAAAAAAGAATATTAAACTCAATTAAATGATAACCTAAAAGATATTTAGTCAATATCTAAAGGTAGTACACCTTTCATTTGTTATTTAAAATTTTGTTTTGGCTTGGGAAGGGAAGTCAAGGAGGAAGGAAGCTAAGCTAAAAGTGTTATTAAAGGAGGAAAATTTGAAAACAATGATTCACAAACATAATTCTAGAAAGACAACTACAGCCAAGGTAAGACTCCACAAAGGGCAGGAAATGTCAAGGTAGTCCCAAAAGCCAGGAGTACAGGGTAAACTGCAGGTCTCAAGTTAGCCAACATCAAGGATTTCAGAGTATAAAATCTGTAGCTCCAAAACAGGCAGCCTTCTTTAAAAAATGAGGCATCTATCTATAGGCTGATGTCAAACAACAATTGAATCTACTGTTAATAAGACAAAGATACACAAGAGTGTGCAGCATCTGCTACTATTTGTATTGGGAAGAAAATAAGGGATATACATAGTATAAGTATGGAAGAAGACATGTGGTAGTGGTGGCCTAAGTAAAGGGAAATTTAGGAACAGTCTCTGTTATATACTTTATTTAATTGTTTTTCTTAAGCCACAAGTACTATTACTTGTTCCAGAAAGAAAAATCTATTTAAATTAATTTACAAGTCAAGCAGCCAGAAGACAATATACCAAAGGTCAAGAATAATTTATAATTTAAAGCCAGGAGGACAGCCCAAAATAAAAGCTAAAGTGTAAGGCAAAGAGAATGACTTAAAACTAGTCAGTTTTAACTAGTAGTCAGTATAGCAGACGTAGGGTTGATGAACCTCAAAATGAGTGAACTCCTTCTTCACATGGACGCCTTTTATGAACTTCCAGCTTGAGCAGGAATTAATACCAGGTCATTAACAGCCCATCACATGCAGACAAAGGTGAGACATTTAAATAAAGATGATACAGAAGCTGAAGCATCTATCCGAGTTTGAAGATAACGAAGGTAGATATTTTAACATACTACTACTAGCCAATCTGACTTAGCCTCTGGCGATTAACAAGAGCAACGGCATGGGCTTCAGTGTTCTATTTTCAAATATCTATGAAAGATATAGAGCAACACTAGGATAGTTCCTTAAATACAATGCATGTGACCTAGTTGTAATGGAAAGAGCCTAGAAAGAGATGAGTCATTGAAGGTGTGCTTGGGAGCTGAGTAGGACAGGAGGAACTGACAAGCCTCAGGATTTGAAGGAATCTCAGTCCCTAAATCATGTGACCTAAACTTCCATCCCTTACTCCTCAGGTTTTAGTTGCTTTGACTTTCATACATTAGTGCTAAAGAACAGCTACTTTAGTAGACTTTAGATTATCCAGATGGTCAAGAGATTTCTCTATATTGAGGAAATTTAAATTTCTTAAATTATAGAACACAATAAGGAAATAGAAAAATTCTTTTAATCCAAAATTAGTTTCTCTGTACTACTCAGCATTGTTCTAAATCACCCCTAATTTAAACTGTTGGGTAAAGTACTAAAATTACAGTATTTTCAGAATTTGCCTATATAAAAAAAATAATTCAAAAGGCAAATTTGCTAATGACATTAAAAAAAAGACATTTTGGGGCTGGCAGGAGGCGTGGTGGCTAGGGTATTAGACTCCCACATGGCCAAATGTGGTTTGAGTGGCTTGTTTTCTCACTTTCCCTTTCTCTCTCTCTCTCTCTATCTGGTCAAATTAAAAAATAATAACAACAAATTAAAAATTAAATAAATAAATAAAATGTTTTAAAATACATTTCAAAAGATAAACATAAATGACTTTGGAATTATACCACCTCAGATCATCTGTTTTACATCCTTCTTGTTTAAGGGAGATAATAAAGAAATGGTAAACACAGAAAACATTTATGACTACATGAAATAAGAAAACAATTTTACCTTTAAAGATTTATTTACCTTCTAAAGTAAGAAACAGATTTTGAGTACAGGATTTTGCTGGAAAGGCATTTTTTCAAATAAGAGAAAGCATGTATGAACCAAGTAACTTCTTAAATAACATATAATAACTGAAACAGTATAAAATAACCTTATTAATTCTAAAAAATAAACATAACAAATAATATTACTAAATGTGAAAAACTACTGTCCTTTTCCATGGTATGAGAAAGAATAAAAGAAACTTCTCTTTATTCTAACAGTAGCTAAAACAAACAGTAGTTTTAACCCCATATAGTATGTAACTCCATTCTCCTATGCTAGAAATATAAATACTGCCCTGTAACAAGTAAAATTTTACCTTATTGTACTTATCATAAAAGAATGTGACCTATAAGTTATTTCTGTTAACTAAGGGCAATTATCAAAACTAAAAAACAACAAAATATATCCTAAAAAAGGTTATACCACCTTCCAATATAAGGATAGGCACATAGTATACACTGAATACTTGATAAATTAAATATACATAAAAGCTATGCCATGAACTGGGAATGAAAAGTATCAGAAATGGATCCTGAGAGAATCAGAGCAAAACATCATTTCTATTTAGATTAAAGGACAACTTCTTTCTCAGAATTCTAAAGTAAAGCAAACATATGCTTTTCCCCTTTACTGCTATTTAAAAATAAGCACCTTGAAAAATATCAATACAAAAGAGTAGTTAACCTTTTCCTTTCAATCTCAGCTTACTATTTTCATGAAAATAGTAAGCTTCTGGCCCAGCTGCACTACCGGAAGCTACATAGCCAATCACAGGTTCAGACCCAAAGTGGATCTAAAACACACAGAGCACACACATGCACAAGATCCTGACTAGTTGGAAAGCCTGGAGGAAGGGAAACGGTGTAACAAGACAGTGTATTTACTATGTCTGTTTCTGTCTCTCTCTTTTTTCTCTGTTATGAAATAAATACACAAACAAAGATAGTATGCTTTCAAATAATAAGATATTCTAATCCTTTAAGTGTCCGTCAGTCAGGTCTATTTGCTTGTTCACACATGACTAAACAGTCTGTACTGTCACAGAGGATAACTTTACAAGTGGATCGTAAGAATTACAGCAACCTAAGATTTTACTGATAATACAGGAGTTCTAATAGCTCATTTATTTGTAGTAAGTAATTCTTATTTTAAAGCAATGGATGACAAATGTACAAATATATTAGAGTCAATTCTTACAACAACCCAATGGAAATAAAAGCTGAACTAATGTCGCTAAAGGTATCAGGGCTAGAATACGTATTTTTTTTCTATCTTGTGCTCTATAAAAATTTCTGAAACTCCGAGGGACCAGCAGTTGGCTATGTCATTGGACTCCCACACAGTCGACCGCAATTCAAGTCCCGGACCCAGTGGCTTAAACTCACATCGGGCGCATGTGCATGTGTGCCCAAGATTCCAAGAAGAGAATGGAGGAGAAGGTACCGTGGCATGGCCATCTCCCCCCCACACACACACATACCCACCCAGCAGAGGTGATTTCTCGCTTTCTCTCTGTCTCTGTCTATCTTTCTGGCGAACGCATGCACCATGCACCCTACAGCAAAAAACTCTCCAAAAAAAAATTTTTTTTTAAACTCCACAAACTATAGGATTAGGCAGGAAGTCAGTCACATAAGCATATACGATAATTAATCTACAACGTGACATCTCAGACATTCTGAGTAAACAATCTACTATGCCAAAGCTTATGAAAATATAGAATAACTCACTGCCTTCTGAGAGTTTATAGAAAATATGTTGAAAGATAACAATGGATCTTTAAAAGAAGCAGTTTATCAGAAAATATACCACCTAAAATATTTCTTTAAATTACACTAAACAAATTTATTTTAAAGTTAATATATAATATAGAGTACTAAAAATGAATCTTGAGACCAGCATTTGGCGTAATGGCTATGTTGCTGGACTCCCACATAGTCGACCGTAGTTCAAGTCCCGGACCTGGTAGCTTAAACTCACACTGGGTGCATGTGCGTGGCGAGAGGTGATTTCTTACTTTGTCTCTCTGTCTCTGTCTTTCTGGCGAGCACACATGCCCTATAGCAAAAACCTCTCCAAAAAAAAGAAATAATAATAAAGGAATCTCTAGGCAATAATTATTCATCTTCTTTTTTAAAAAATATGACAATTAAACATATTCTATAAAGAAAGCCAACAAATACATTTTAATATTTTAAATTATTTCTAAATAATTTTTAATTATTATGTAAAGATTGAAAAACACATCTAAAATATTCATACCTGATCGAAAGCACTCAATTATTTGTTGAATACCAGATTTGGATGTCTGTAGCGGTTGCTGTAACAAAGGAGGATCTCCAGGTTCCAGGACATAAACTATATGGAAGACAAATACCCACCCCAATCCCATGGAAAGGGTTATTTAAATCATTTACTATTGGAATAAAACGGTGGTTTGTTACAATCATGTTAATGATACTCACATTAGCATGTATATAATTCAACATCATCTTTCAAAAGCAAAATGAAACAATCAAGAGACAACTAAAATTATTTTAAAAGGCTAACTTAAGACTACTTAAGGCTAGATATTAGATTTAAATGCAAAGACCTCATTATTTTGGTATTATTTAGTTCACATTCTTTGTATTTGCCCTTTATAACCCTTGAAGAGAAACAACCATACTTAACCAAAAATTCTAAAGACAATGGTGACCTCATTCACAAACCATTCCAAAATCCTTTGGACAATCTGGTACAACTCTCTGGACTAGTGCTTTATGATGGATGTATAAGAATGTACACTGTAGCGCTCTACAGAAACAATTTACAAGTCTCTCAATAGGGACCAAATAAACTATACAACACAATCTCTTATGGTTGTTAAAAAATGCAAACTAAGGGCCAACAAGTGGTATGGTATAGTTAAGGACGCTGGACTCCCACATGGCCAACCGTGGTTCAAGTCTTGGACCTGGTGGCTTGCTTTCTCACTTTTTCTCTTTCTCTTCTCGTCCCTCACTGGTCAAACAAAAATTTGTTTAAAATAAATAAATAAAGTAAAAACAATTCTTTAAAAAAAAGAAAACGTAAACTAAATCTACATGTATTGACAACAAAGGATGTCAATGATAGCTTTACAACAAAAACAAGTTATAGAATATGATCCCATCTACATTAATATATATTTAGATGGATATAGAAACACAAATTTAATGTATATTTCCATATATGCATAGATGCTAATATAAACAAAAAAGTATTGGAGGGATACCAACAAAATTTAATTAAGGTTCTATCAGGTGGGTTTACAGATATGGAGGTAATGTTCACTTTCTTTTTACTTTTCTAAAATTTTGCCAGACAGCACAAGTATGCTGGAGAAGAAGAAATCACCCCCTCTTGGGGGATCGTCATGCCGCAATCCTTTCTCTTCCATTTCTCCCTTCTTTTAAGATTTTAGGTATGCATGCACACATCCCTGGCATGTTTTTCAAGCTTCTGGGTCCAGGACTCAAGCCAGTGAGCCATCTGGGAATCAGCTGCCTTAAACATGAGGCCACAGGCTGGTCTCATGATACCCACTTTATTCTTCACAATTTACTATTGCTTCAGAGCTTGGGCTTTTAGAAGTGTGCATTTTATTGACAGAAAGAACACATTTTTATAGTAAGTAAAAATGATTTTTCCATTTTAAAAATAAAAACTCTCATTTTGACACGCAGAGATCTATATTACCCCTTACTTTCCAAGATTCTTTGATTAGCAGTATAAATATATAATAAATTAGACTATGGTAATATGAAACAAAGTAACTAAAAAGGAAGACTGTTTTCTATCAGTTAATAAATAAAGAGAAAAGGTTGTGGTGAAGAAAAACTGGCCATTTAATTAGCTCTTTAAAAAAAAAAAAAAAAAACACTGTAATATTCTACTAAACTATTACCATCATACCCCAGGACCATCCATGTAGTGTGGGGAGACAGGAAGGGATCTTTCAATGATGTGTGATCTACTATTTCAGGGTTTAGCCATGGACAGCATTTAACCTTCTGAAAAAGGTGCTAATACCTGCTGGGCTATGTATATAGATACATCCTTAGATTTTCCTTTATGCTTCAAGTCTAGTACTCAGTATACACAAATAGGAGAAACTGTCTTGAAACCAACTTATTTCATTAAGCAAAATTTGCCCAATTTTAAGACACTTATTTTAAGTTAAGAAAACACATACACACAAAATCATTTTGAGAATATCTGACATTGGCCAGAAGTGGCATGGAGGTTAAGGTGCTGGACTTCTACATGGTTGACCGCGGTTTGAGTCCTGGACTCAGCAACTTAAAACTCACACCTGGTACATGTGTGTTGGTGCCCCAAATTCCAGGAGAATGGAGGAGGGGGGACTATGGCATGACCATCATGCCTAGGGGTTGATTTCTCACTTTCCTTCTCACCATCTCTTTCTGTCTCTTCAGCAAGTACAGGTACCCTATGGCTAAAACCTTAAAAAACAAATGACTCCAGACCTGGACTGCCTATGTTTAAATTATTTTTCTGCCATTTACCAGTCATTACTATTCACAACTAGTCACAACAATTAAACTCTCCGATTTCTTTCTCACCTCTAAAATGGGGATAATAAAACCAAAACCACCTTAATCATAAGGTTGTATCTGGATTAACTGAGCTAATAAAGGTAAACTGCTTAAAACAAAACATGGGGTATATAGTAAGTGCTCAATAAACAATCAACAGCAGCACATTCCTAACACCAATAACTGAACACCTATTTCCAAAATCTAGAATTCAACCTCTTAAAGAAACAATAGAAGTTTGTAAACAGACTTGATAAATATCTATTTGAATTAAATGATCTCTTTAGTATTTGCACATTAATAGCAACTGTTAATTATTTATAAAACTAATAACTACACATGACAGGATAAAAACCCACACAATTGTAAAGAACTAAATGCTTTAAGATCTGGCTCTCTGTATATGGCAAGAATTCTAGAAATGGAGAATGAAAAAAACCAGAAATGAATAAGGGAAGGATATAAGAAAAAATAGAGACTTCTCCTTAGAGCCCTGATTCCTCATTTGAGTTTATGTTCCAGTTGGGTACAATAAACCAACTTTCATTTCCACATGACACCACCACCTGATTTTAAAGCTAGAGCAAAATTTTCTTACCAATCATTTTAGGAATACTACCAAGACAATACACCTCCTGAGACAATATTCAAAAGCCCAAAGTTAGTTTAGTTATGACTGGACACAGCCACTTGGTACACTTCTATGTAGCTCCCACTGTAAGAATTCTTCATTTGACAACTCTCAACTCTAGAAAACTTCATATATATATATATACACACACACTACTACAGAACACATATACTTGCTGGAGAGACAGGAAGGAAAAGTGAGAAATCGCCCCCCGAGAGGGTATAGCCACATCACAATCCCTTTTCCTCTACTCTTTTCTTGGGATTTTGGGCATGCAGGCACACACACCTGGCATGTTTTTAAGCTGCAGAATCTAGGGCTTAAACCGCCAAGTCAGTCATGTGGAATCCAGGTGCCTTAACCACCACACCACTAGCTGGCCTATATATTAATATTTATAAAACTTACATCCTATTATCTCTCCTAAGATCAGACCCATGTAGGTTACATGACCATTTAGAGAAAACATCATTTCATTCCAACCAAAAAACCCAAACTCTGAATACACTTTTTTCTTTTTTTGGAGAGATTTTTGCTTTAGGGCGCATGCGTTCGCCAGGCAGACAGAGAGACAGAGAGACAGAAAGCGAGAAATCACACCCCAGGGGGGATGGCCACGCCACAATCCCTTCTCCTCCATTCTCCTCTCGGGATCTTGGGCACGCACGCACACGCACCCGGCGTGAGTTTAAGCCACCGGATCCGGGACTCAAACTGCAGTCGACTATGTGGGAGTCCAGCAACATAGCCATTACGCTGACTGCTGGTCCCCACTCTGAATACACTTTCTAGAATATAACATCCACATCTGTAAGAGTCTCTCCTATCTTAAAATAAGTTTCTTAGAAGATTCTTGTACTTATGTTAGGATTTGCTAATAAACAATGAAGGATGGGTAAGTAATTGGAGGGTAGAAAAGGGAACAGTGGGGAGAGGGGAGAATATAGACGAAAGTGATTTTTTCATGTTAGTAACTGATGGAATTCTAAAGTTATATCAGGTTCCTTATACCAGTCTATATTTAAAGGTTTGAAATTTTCTATCAAAAAAAATTCTTAAAACTAAGAAAATACTTAACACACACAGACATGCTTTTTGTTTTCTTTTTTCGGAGAGGTTTTTTTTTTTTTTTTTTTTTTTTTCCCCTATG